TTTCCCGCAAGCTCAGGGCAGGTGGCATGGTAGCACTTGACAGAGGAAATACCATCATCTCCAGCTGTCTGGGAAAGATAGGTTCAGAGAGAGAAGGTCTCAAGGCCACAGAGTCATGAAGAGGCCCAGAATATCCTTGATCTTGGCGTCCTGACATGCACAAATCTGGTCTTTCACGCAAATGGAATGGTGATGACAATAATGGTGACATTTACTGAGACTGCCAAGTGCTACTCTTGAGTTTTAGGTGGCCTTCCTATAAAGATGCCTTATGAGGTAGGTTCTACTGTCACCAATTTATAGATGGAAAACAGAGCCCCAGAGAGGTGAAGAAACTTGCCCAGAGTCACAAAGCCTAGAAGTGGCTGGGCTGGGCCCAGAGCCCAGGATGTCTGACCCTTGAGTCTGCACTCTGAGTTCCTGTTTGTGGAAATCCCAACGGCCAGCTGTCTGAGGCACCTGCTATCTGCCAGGTCTTGTACTCAGAATCCAGTGGGGATGGGTGGCCCAGCTCTGGTCCATGATGTGAGTGCATGGCCTGGCTGTGTAGGTGTCAGCACAGGAGGGAGAATGTGACAGGGTTAATGGGCCTGGGAAGATGCAGGGGGAGGGGCACAGGGGCAAAGGAGGGGACACTCACCTGCACACACTGCCCAGTGGGCCTTGTAGCCCTTCTTCTGACATGGTTCGTGGTTGAAGTCCTCATCATAGCTGGAGCCGGTGTTAAGGCCAAAACCATGGGACGGTCCTGAGACCCACCCTTACCATACTTGCCCTGCTCACTCCTAGACCCTGGGATACGGGATAAGCAGGGGATATCCAGTGATAAGGTGCCACAGGACAAGGTCTCTGTTGGAACCACCCAGGCCGCCACAGAGCAGCTCGGTTTGACAGCTCAATGTCTCCTGGGCCAGCCTGCCCATATCCGCCACTGTAGGTGAGAGCACACACAGAGATGGCTTAGCACGTGCCCGGCCCCCTGTTAACAAGACCCATGTTTCTATCCCTCACCATGCCCATCTGCTCTGAGGCACAAATTCAGAAAGAGAGTCAGCCCCATGTTCATGGTCACCGTGAGGAGGTGGCAGAAGGCAAAAAGACAGGCCCGGGAAATGGAATGAGACCCTCCTCACACGTGCCTACTGCAACCCACCAACCTCCTGGTTCCTTCCTAGGGAAAGCCAATGAAGCCCAGGGCTTGGGACCCTTCCCTACCCAACTCACCAGAAAACATCTCTCCCTGGGCAGTGTAGCCTCTCTCCTTGGCTACCTGCACCAGCCTCTCCAGGGGGATGCCGCTGGGGGGTGATAGGAGAGTGCCTGCCATCCACAAAGCCACCAACCCACATCTGGAAGAGACAGGTCTTGACCCTCAACCCTTACTTCATGCCATTACTGGGCTCCCTTTACCCCTGGAGCAGAAGTGGGGAACAGGTTTGCTGCCCTGGGGGAGCTCTCCTTCCCCTTCCCAGGCCAGGCGAGGATACCTGATTCCCTGTTATGACAGAGGATAGCCCAGGCCTAAGCCCAGGGCTAGAGGGTGGGGACAGAGGTCAAGGAGGCTTATTAGGAACAGGGGCCAAAGTAGAATTAGACCAATGGACCAGGTTCATTTGTTTCCTCAATTGGAGCTCACTCGCTTGCTTGTGTGTTCCACTGTTCACTAAGCACGCCCCAGGCCCCACAGGGCAACGTTCTCCTCTCCCTCTCCTCTCCAAGCTGAGAGTCTTCCATACTCCCAGGTGAGTCCTCAGGAAACCCAGGGAGGGCAGAACCAGGGCAGGTCCCACAATGGGGCACTTACTGAGGGCCTTCTTGGATGAGGGAGGGCAGGTCACGACAGAAGAGGATCCACTGCAAGTCACTCCGGAACCTGAAGTAGAGCCAAATGAAGGTCACAAGGGAATAGCTCTGAGGGTTCCCCTTGAGGTCCAGCTGGCAGCAGGTGGACAGGGAAGGGAACACAAGGAACAAGGCCTGAGGGCTGATCCTGGCTCAGTCACTGACTTCCTTCTCTCCTGATGAGGCACTTAATTTCACTGAGCCTCAGTTTCCTCATCTGTTTGGGGGGAATTGTTCTTTTACTGCTCCCTGCCTTCTCCCTAGAGTTGAAGGGCAAAGAGCAGATGTGAGGCAACTAGGAGTCAGAAAGATTTGAAGGAATATCTCAAAAGAGGTGTCTTATACCAAAATTCTGTGATATTTTCTTTTTCTTAAAGTCTGCAAACAAGGTGAAAATCAAGATGAAAATCTCTAAATTCATCCTTGAATAAAACCAGGTAACAACAAGCTTAAGGCCTAAGAGATCACCTTGATAACCAATCTTTGCAGGTCTGACCAGCCCCACCCTGGTTCCCAGTATGGGATGTCTCCTGGCAAAGGGGAATGACACCACAGCAGGGTGGTTAGAAGCACCACACCCCCTGCCAAAGTTCAAAGGGGCCTTTCTCTCTGCACTGTGGCTAAGTGACTTCACCACTATAAACCTCAGTTTTCTCATCTTGGAAATGAGATGTTCTCATCTTATGGGGTTGCTGAGAGTCACAGTAACTTAATACTTAAAAACACAATAATATCTGATACATACTAATCACGCACATGCACTGACAAGCAATTTTTGCATTCAATTTGCCTCACAGTGGCTTGGTTAGAAAGGGCTGGAGAGTTCAGGAGTTCCTTTGTGCATCTGGGCAAATTCTTTTTTCTCTTTTCTAAGTCAAGTCCTAGGAAATGTCTAGCCCCCTTCCCTCCCCTACTGTCAGAGTCCCTGGATGCTCCCTGGGACCCTGAACTCTTCTCATGAGGCAAAGCCTCTCCTCGACTCCCTAGTGTCCTGGAAAGTCCAACTCCCTTCACAAGGCCCACCATACCCATGTGAGCCGGTTCGCCCACCTTTCCAGGCCCATCTCTGCCCTGTGTCTGTCTGGTTAAGGAGCATTTGCAGTACCTGACTGAAAAAGAACATGTCCTCATTTAATTCTGGGCCTCTGCCCAAGCAGTACACTCTCATCACATCCTTCCTACCTGACTTGCTCAGCTATGCTGGGGTTCCCCCCCTCCAGAAGCCCCCCAGTGACCTCTCAGCCTGGGTCAGGCAGTGTCTTTAGGCTCTGTCATCATAGCCCTGACCATTCCAGGCTGTGGAAAGTTCTGCCTCTGAAGTAGGCACGTTTGAAAGCAGCTTTCTTCACTGTAGGGGGGGCGCACCACTGCTGAAGGGCCTAGGCAGGGAACTAAAACCATGAGAAATGGGAAAACTGGAGAGGAGATAGGTGAAGGGACCCGGGGACAGGTGGTTGGGTCAGACCCTGGGTGGGTAGGGAGGGGCTGGAAGACCCTACCGGTCCTTGTGCAGCCTCAGGAGCCTCTTTACATCTTCTCTGCCGGTGGGGACTGGGCCCGCCTTCTCCAAGGCCTCCTTCAGGAGCTGGCTCTTCTCCAGGCCGAAGACGTGAGGGGGAGCACCCCTAGTGGCAGGAGGTGGAGGAGGTAGCGGGGGTGGTGGGGGAATATGGGACTGGAGACTACAAGGTTGGGGTAGAAAGGCCAAGTTCAAGGGACTGGGAGGTAGGGGAGGAGTTGGGACGATGGGGACTTGAGGTTCAGGAGATTTTCGAAAAGGGATTGAGGGTTCTAGGGAAGAGGAGCATGGAGAAGTCATTTTGGGGTCTATAAGATGGGCTGAGGGGTAGAGAATGGAAGAGAGGAGGATCCTCCAAAAGGATTCTAGATTTGAAAGGTTTTAGAACCGAGTTCCAGAATCTGGGAGCTGAGCAGCAGGTCGGAAAAGATCAGGGCTAAAACCTGGAACCATTGGAGAAAGAACCAGGGTTGAGATTAACTGAGGGTCAACAGAGTGGGGTTCATAAATCCAGAAACAGATTTATGGCATGGAACTGAGGTGGGTTGGGCTGTATTTCGAGGTTTATTAAGGGAAAACGTGCATGCATTATTTTATTCTCTGGGACTGGATAGGGAATTCCTGGGTCAATCTTGAGATATGGGGCGCCTGCACGGTGAGACCTAGAACCTGGGGCTAGAGAATGGAGGAATTAAGACTCTGTCCCCCCTCACATCCCAAGCCCGAGTTCAGAAGTTTGGAGCTGACCTTTGAGCCAGAGGTCAAGAGGTCAAATCAGACACTGGGTAGGGAAAATGGTCTAGTGCAGGGAAGGTCCTGGAATCAACAATTAGCAAAGTCCGTAAGTTGAGGAGAAGGCTGAGATCGGTGGCCCGAAGGAGTCGCGATGTCGCTGGGATAGGGAATGGCGTCTGGGAAGCAAAATTCGTCTCCTTGTGCGCGAAATGGCGTCCTCTGCGCGCACACAGCCTTTCCTGTGTCGTAGGGCAAAACGCGCGGCGCGTGCCCACCCCTTTGGTGATCACGTGACAGAAGACACGAGGCTGTAGGGGAGAGGTGGGACTTTCAAAGGACTGCCTCCGGAAGAGACTAGGGCACGAGCCGCGTCCCGATTGGCAAAAAGCTCGTGACGTTCGCTGATTGGTCTGTAGGCTCTCCTTGCAGAGGGGCGGGACTTTTCTGTTGAGGCGGGAACCCAAGTGTGGTTTTGATTGGCAAGTTCAGGGCCCAGGGACGACCCTTCCTCCGATTGGTCGAACTACTGAATTTCCCGGCAGGGATTGGATTGCATAAAAGGAAAGGCGGAGCCAGAAGATGAACCTTTGTGGTCTGGTTTGAAGAACGTACCTGGCGTCACTTGGGGGACTTGAGGCCCTGTGGGTAAGTATTTTCGGGCCCAAGCAGCTATTGGCGCCAGGAAGGCGGGCGGAGCACTTGGCGTCCGGTATTTCCCGCACCTCGGTTGGAGAAGCGTTCTCGATGTGCGAGGCCAGGATGTCTGAAAGCTTTTCTGCTTTCTTAAACTGGCTCTTACATCCGGGTTTCCCCTCGGACCGCCCTTTGGGTGCGTGAGCCAATGGGAATTGCCACTTGGGACGCTCCGCCTGCCGGGCCGCGTAGAGCATCCCGGGATTCGTAGTAAATTTCTCGAGATTTCTCTCCGCACGCGGGCTGGAGGAGCGGAATCCCTGGCTCGCATTGTTGCTCAAGCTGTGCCTTCACCCCCCAACTCCCGTCTTACCTGACTTCCTCTTGGAAGGAAGATTCCCTGAGTAGAGCCTTTTCTCTCCGTTCGGGAGAAAAGATTTGGAAAAACCCAAGTCTTAACTCACCCTTTTCCTTCTTTAAGCCGTACCTCGGTACCTCTCTCCATGGCAGTTCCCGAGACCCGCCTCAACCACACTATTTATATCAACAACCTCAATGAGAAGATCAAGAAGGATGGTGAGTGCTCGCGATGCGCTGGACCATGGTCTATGGCGCATGAGCTGGTCCCTTTCTACCTCAAGTACCTGCTTCTCTTTCTCCATCTTCTTCAGACAAACGAATAAGTTAACTCCGTGGTCTTTCTACATACTGCTTCCTTTTTCTTCTGCATACATCTAACATTCTTCCCTGTAACCGGTCGCTCTTGATAATCCTTTAAGATTTTAGCTTACAGGACTCCCCCTCCAGGAAGCCCTCCTGGATCCACTCTCCCATCACGTGGCTGCCACTGATTTCCCATAGGTCCTGGGTATGCCCACTCAAGCCAGGATCACTCTAGAGTCATGCTGTCTTCCCTCTGGTCTGTAAGCTCTGTAAGGGCTGATACTGAGGTTGTCTTGGTCATTTGTGGAAATATATATTAGTGATGGTTAACACTCTGAACCAGGGACTAATTTATGTACTTGTGTAATTCTTAATTATTTTTAATTTTCAAAATAGACCCGTAGGAGGGCACTACTGTCATTCCCATTTCTGAGACTGGGAAAGTGAGAGTTAACTTTATTTTTTAAAATGTTTTTTTAGTTGTGTATGGACTCCGTGCCTTTATTTGTTTTTATGTGGTGCTAGGATTGAACCCAGTGCCTAACACTTGTGAGGCAGGTGTTCTCCCACTGAATCACAACCCCAGCCTAGGAATTTAGGTTTTTTATTTTTTGTACCAGGGATTGAACTCAGGGGCACTCGACCACTGAGCCCCATCCCAGCCCCTCTTAGAGACAGGGTCTCACTGAGTTGCTTAGTGCCTTGCTTTTTGCTGAGGCTAGTTTTGAACTCACCACCCTTCTGTCTCAGCCACTGGGACTCCAGAGCCACTGGGATTGCAGGTGTGCGCCACCGTGCCCAGGACTGAATTAATCAGTTCTTGAAATCAGAAAGACACTTCCACTTTCTTTAGTAAATTTTCACCTTTATTTATTTATTTTAATCTTTATTTTGTTTATTCATTTTTATGCATTGCTGAGGTTGGAACCCAGTGCCTTACATGTGCAAGGCAAGCCTTCTGCCACTGAATCACAACCCCCATCCAATTTTCACCTTCTTTGAATTTTATTTCCTATACCTGAAAACTGAGCAAAATCATAACTTTCTTTGAATGAATGTTTTGGGATCAGATTAACTAAACCTTTGCGTAGTGCTTCATTTCATGGTACCCTGCAGTTAGTGGGGGTGGAATAAAAGCTGTTATTAAACGGACTTGGGTGGCACACCGCTGTAATCCCAGCCACTTGGGAAACTGAGGCAGGAGGATTGCCAGATTTGAGACCAGCCTCAGCAATGT